TACCACCGACGGGTGCGGGTAGAGGATCCATGAATGGAAACGGCAACAACAGGACGAGACACAGGCCAGTTTACCATCACACGATCCTGCCGGAATACAACACTTCCGTGTACAGCAACGGCGAACTGAACAGGACGTTCTTCGATACCGGACTGATATCGGTTAGTCCACGGGAGTCGGTGAATATCAGTGAAGTGATATCGAAGAGACACGACGGTGACGCCATCGCGTCGCAGGAGACCGTCGCCGTGGTCAGCTACATCCTGGCGACGCTGGTCGTCTTCCCGATCGCCGTCGGCGTTGGTCTCATTCTAAGAAGACTGATACTTAGGAATCGTAAGGTGAGTGGTGATTTCGGCTCGTCCGAGACTACTCCTCCGTGGACCGAACGGATTAGAAAGCATCTGTACCGTGTACGCATATGTAATATAGGTCGTCGAATGAAAGTGGTCTTGTGACATTTGACGCTGGTCCGCTGTCCAGACTCCTTTTCGCGTGAAAGTTTGTGGAGGTGTAGGAACGAGGTTGGTGTCAGTGGCCTGGTTATTTTTCTACCTTGTAACTCGTGCACTCCTTTCTTTCTGTATCGCTAGGGATTTTCAGAATCTTCTACGAGATTTACTGTGAATGTGCCGTGATCGTGATACGTATGCTGCTTTGTACCAGTTTTACTCGAGACGCATCGGATTCGGATTCTAGGTCAGACAGATTGAATCGAGATCGAAACTCCTCTGGGCTGGGTCATCGGGGCAATCTGAGTTGTGTGATACGTTGTGACCCAGAAAAAGTAGAGTCTTGGCAAAATGTACCGGTTTCGCATTTTTTAAAATTCTGTTGATAGAGTCATTTTAATAATTCATCTCTTTTAAGTTATATTCACTGAGTATTTCTTAACAGAATACTATCCTTACGATGTAATTCGTTCTGAAATAGTTAACTTTAAATTTCCTTTTGAATAAATTCAAAATTATTTTATCATTTTAAAAAGTTAGTACTTTTTACATTGAAAAGGTCATTGTAAAATATTTGGAATTTTTTAGTGCGCAGTTGCAATCTAATGACTCGTAGTTATAGCTATCTTTAGTAATAGAAAAGGCCATTACTAAGGATAACTATAATCACCTACCATTATCCCTAATTAAACGATATATCGTGTTGCCTAATCATGTTGATACTTCTACCGATGTTTAAAATGTACTGTCAGGCATTAACATTAATTTTAATTATACGGTCACAACAATGTATAAAATAGCGAAATGGTGCAATTGGCACCATTTTTGAGATGGAGCAATGAAATGGTAAAATAGTATGACAGTATAATAATACAAAAATAGAAGACTAAAAATATATTTTTTTTAAAATATGTACCGACAAGAATTATTTGCTGAAGTAGGGTAATGAGATGTTTTTGATCAGAATCATTCAAAACACTATCATTGAAATGTCCAGGTATTTAAACATCGAACTGTGTCAGTTAATTAACACATTGATAGCCTCGTCACTCATCAACGAATGACATTTGAATTTCCATAAGGATCTTGTGTTTACTTAAGAAACTACTAAGTGAAGATCATAAATAAAAGAAATAACGAAATGAACCGGACAAGATTAGTGAAAGATAAAAATACTGTTCGACGAGAGTTTTAATGCCTTCCACGCGACGATGAAAATATTAGCGTCTCGTATCGTGTTTTGTCCCTGATTTATTTCAAGTATCACCCAGCAGATTACGGCGATTTCTTCGGTGAAGAAATTCGATCTTTAAATAATATTTACCTTGCTCTAACGAAATAATTTCAATCGAGGAATACATGAAATGGTACGTGAAACCAGTGCACGTTTCAGTTTTATCCCCGTGATTCCTGTCCGGCGGGTGTAATTTCCTTTCGAGCCTGTTCGTCGGCAACATTATCGCTAGCAAAAAACATTGATTTACGATTGTGTACCGTAAAGCGTATCCGACCGATGATCGCTAAATCGAAACACGAATCGCATGGTAGTTGCCACTTATGTACCGTTACGAGGCCCGCGGATTATCAAAGCGTACGAGCATTTATCATTCGGCCATTAACCGGGACTTTCGATATCTTCTGGATATGAGATGGTCTTTCGTTCTGAGCATTGCCTTCGACAATTCGATAATTAGCTCGAATACGGGCAACAGGAAGCATTTATCGCGTTAGAGATCAAACGGTTTCTGTCAGAAGAACTTGGACTATTAAAATTTCTTTCAGTACAAATTATCTGATATTCCGAAGTAAGTGAAATGTTAATTTGGACCTTTCTGATTGGAGGATAATTATTTATTGTATCTCGGTACTTAATTTTCGGTGGGGAACCTTGAGGTTTTATGAGGTAAAATTTATGGAGTTGATTATGGAGATAATTATGAAATGTTATAGTTTTTTATTTATTTTGGAGGTTTCTGAGTTTTTGTTTCTCAATTTCACAATTTTTCAATTTACAAATTACCAAGAATCCATATTAAGAAATTCTAAATTTTCACAATTTTCAAATCCTTCTATTCCAAATTTCATAATGTTCTAATTCCTATATGTCAAATTTCACATATTTCAAGTCTCTTATGTTCCAAATTTCACAACTTTCAAATTCCTATATTCCGAATTTCATAATTTTCAAATTCCTGTATTCCAAATTTCACATGTTTCAAATTCGTATATTCCAAATTTTACATATTTCGAATTCCTATATTCCAAATTTTACATATTTCAAAACTCTGCATTCCAAATTTCACAAGGTTCCAATTCTTATTTTCCAAATTTCACATATTTCAAATTCCTATATCCCAAATTTCACCTATTTCAAATCTCTGCATTCCAAATTTCACAAGGTTCCAATTCCTATTTTCCAAATTTCACATATTTAAAATTTCTACATTCCAAGTTTCACAATATTCAAATTCCTACGCTTCAAATTTCACATATTTCAAATTTCTACATTCCAAGTTTCACAATGTTCAAATTCCTATGTGCCAAATTTCACATATGTCAAATCTCTGCATTTCAAATTTTCACTGTTCGAATTCTCCAAATTTTTAAATTTCTAAATTTTCAAATACCTAAATTCCAATTCTCCAGCTCCCAATTCTCCCATTTCCAAATTTCTAAATTTTCAATTCCTCCATTTCCAACTGCCTCTATTTTTAAATTACCCCAAATTCAATCCACAAATTCCAAATCTCCAAATTCCCGAATTATCAAAATTCTCCTAAATTTCCAAATTATCCAACTTCTCCAACTTTCAAAATCTTCAAAAGCCCTCGAATTCCCCGTAAATATCTGAATTATCAATTAGTGTATATATTGAAGTTAGTATACACATTAAAATTACTGTACATATTGAAATTAGTATACTATGACATATTGTATATTGAAAGAAGTGACCGGAGAGCGTCATGGCGGCGAACGTGTTAATGACAGGTTTAAGTTCGAGTTCGCGTGCGTTCCGAGTATCATCGAGTCTTTAGAGCAGCCTGAATGAAACGTAATGAAAAATCGTTTCTTCCAAGGAGGAAAATGGCTGTACAAGGAAGTGCTTTGAAGTTTTATTAATGATGGTGTTCCGTGAGTTCGCCGAGCCTTTCTAGGTCGTGATAATAAAACAGTCTAATTAAAGCAATCTCTTTCCTTTATCAAAGAGGTTCCGCAAATCAAATACGTTTTGATCAAAAATGTCTTTTCTCCAAAGTGTATTCTTTTTCGCGTAGTAACGACGTCTTTTCTTATTTAAATCCGTAAACTTAGAACAAAGCGTACGAAGAAAATACTTCGATTTTCAACAAAAAATGTCTACTTCTGACTAGTGCTTTTATCCTGTTTAAGCAATAAAAATCATTCAAGTTGAAATATTAGAGAAACGATAAAACAAAACGAAACCGCATAAAATGCTTTTATGCTAAATGCCTTCACCTGCGAAATAATGGTGCTATTTTGAAAGTAATAAAATCTTTTGTTATTTGAGTTTCTAAAATCTTCAAAACAGAGAAAATGAAAGTTTCGAGGAAACGTATAGATCTACAAAAACTTTTGTTACTTGAATACACTTCATTCTTTTTAAAAACAGTCTTTTGTTATTTAAATTTTGATAACCTTACAGAAACAATGAAACATAAAATGGCAAAATTCGGCATAAATTACATTATCTTTTTTCGCTAATTTAACGAGAACTTTTTTTTCTTACAGCTTAGTAACACATTAATAACCATTATTTAAATTTCACAGAATTAGCTATTCTGAAAAACGATGAAAATAATTTGTGACTTACGGAAAGAAATTGAGGAATTATTGTTTTATTTGTTTCAAGGAAAAAAGATATTGTTTTTCCCTAAAGGACTTAAGTGTCTCTTGAAATTGGTTTCTAATTGGTCAATCGTAATAATGGAAGGTATTACCTTTTTCTTCAAATTTTTTCCTACTTGACCCTGAACTCGCCACGAACGGGCCCAGCAACTCGGTCGTCACTTAATTTTTAAGGTTCGCGAAAGCTCGAATGATTCATCAGATCTGTAATTATCGGTCGATCGACGATTACGGATCATCGGGTTTATTGTATGAAAACGACTGCCAGGTGTTTTCTTTTCACTGAAAACACACCATTGCGTCCTTTGATTTAACGGTCACTGTAATTTCTCGGTTTAACGAGAAAATAAAGAACTTATGTAACCACGTAACTATTGTTTATGAAAATTGCTTTTATTTTTACTTGAGATGTAATCGAATATTAATTTCGTAGGCTAGAAATTTTTGTATCGAATTTCGAGGGCGAGTGAATATAACCTAGAAATTGAGAATGTAAGAAATACTGATTATGTTTGGGACCATTTCGAATCAGTTCTAATTATTATACACGTAATCTACAATGAAATATAATGTTTAAAATTTGTGACATACAAACTGAGAAATTTTGAAAATTTCAAATTGAGGAGTTTGCAAATTTTTTTAATTGCAATTCTTAACATTTGGAATTTTACAGATCTTGAAATATCAGTGCCATAAATTCTCATCTTTAGAACTTGAAAAGTCTTAAAATTTTTAAAAACATATATTCCGAGATTCATTAACTTTGAAATATTAAAATTTTCAAAATCATAAATTTAGAATTTTCAAACTCACAAAACTTGTGAACTCAATAATTCACAGATACAGAATGTTTAATATCTTGAATTCTATTTACTCTATCTATCTATCTATCTATTTATCTACCTATGTATCAATCTATCTATGTATCTACCTATCTATCTATTTATCTATTTATCTGTCTATCTATCTATGTATCTATCTATCTATCTACCTATTTATCTATCTATCTATCTTCAAATTGAAAAACTGAATCCAATTCAACGTTTTTCAATTCTAACGTCATTCAAAATAATTGTTAAGAAGGTGTAAAAAGTATATTACTTGCATTATGTAAGATAATCAGCTACTTGTGCACTTGATTCGCGTCACAACTAAATTGGTTAATTGAAACGAAGTTTAATCAATTATTTCAGTGTCAATGAATGCATAGTCCTTTTAAAGGCAGCACAAGTATATCGTTCACGGTACATATTAACAGTTCAATACCATTCGTTCCACGTGTCAGTCTCGAACGGGAAAAAAGCAGTCAGTCACGTATTTTCTCTTGCATTTACGTCAAAGTCATTTTTTTATCTTAGCCAACGTTCTACGCGTTTTCAAGTTCCTTATTCGCGGCGTAATTCGAGAAAGTCATGTACGACGTGTTAACGCGTGTAAATAGTTTCTCCTCGATGGAACGACTGGTCACGTACTGAATTTCATAAACAAATAAACATGATAATATGCAAGAGTTAATTATTCGATATTTCACGTCAACTAACATGTATCAGTTATACAAACGTTTCAAGCAGATTGAAATTTAATTTAATTCTTGGACAGTAGACTGTTGAGATAAATGCAAAATTTTTGTTAATTTTTGTTCTTTAAATTGTATTATTTATTTTTTTATGTATTTCTTGTATAGTTTGTACTCTATATACTTATTAGTATTCTAGTATACTCTGTGTAGTATAGTGTAATTACTTTGTAGTAGTTTGATATATTTTATAATTATTCTGCAGTAATTACTCTGTGCTACACAGTAACATATAAACAAATTGACAATAAATGAGTAAAATGGATTATATATAAATTATTCTATATTTGTAATTTATACTCTAATTAGATACATACTCTGTATATGTATTTAATTATATTTCTTTAAATACTACTATTCCAAATAAGAAATATTACAAATCTTTAATACATATTTTAGTTGTGCCTAATAAATAAAATTTGTAAAATTTAATATTTTAATATTAAATCTAATATGTTGGATAAAGCATCATTGAATACTTATAAGTCAGTCACTGATCACTATTAGAAAAAGAAAGGTTAGAATACTATTTCACTTTCAAAGATTCAAAGTGATTCTCCAATCACTAGCTACAGCTAATAATATTCGCGCCATCAACGTCTACTGTTGTAATATATTCGTTCAACAAATGAATCACGATGATGTTGATTTTGTACAGGTGCTCGAAGAGTCAGACACATCGTCGGAAATCAGTTGCCGGAAGGACGCGCTGAATCTTGAAAATGGCGACTTCAAAACGTCTATCGAAAAGGCCATCACGAAGTTGCCGAGGATACAGCATCTGGTGAGCAATGAGTTAGCGATAAATTAATTATTACATCACGTACTGACGTATTGATCCCATACAATAATTTGCATCAGTCACTTTCTCGTATCACAATTTAAAAATAATTTAGTTGGGACACTTCGAACTTGAAGTGAAATTGAAGATTTTCATACGTTCATATTGAATGAGTATATCTTGTAAAGGCGTTTTATTGTGAATTATGAAATATAATGCAAAATATATATATTTCACATTTTGTGTCGATTATATTATACATCGTACAACACTGTCAATGTTATACATCATACAACACATACATCATGTTAGAAAATAGAAATTAACGAACGGTCGACACAGGCCATCTACTTTTTGTTATTGCACTTCCCCTTCCTCAGGGAACATCGCTGGGCCCAAGGGCCCTAAACAGCCATGCTGACGAGGGTGTCCCCAATACAGGATCATGTCAAGGAAGACATTCTTGTATTGGCTTTTGCCGTGAAACATCATTAAAGTAGTGCAGTCTACTTTTTTAAAATCGCTCACAAGTTATTTGGTATACCTCACCAATAACATTCCTGATTTCCTTACAATCAAAAGAATAAAATTGGACAGTTTTGTAATATTCTTTGACCACTGTCTCAATCATTCAAGTAGTTCAAACATTCCAACGGATCGGTTCAGCAGATTTGTCAAGGCATCAGGTCCCTTTCGCGCAGTGTAAATAATAATTCGCGGCACGACCATCAAAGAGACCCCTCCGCAGATTTATTCGTCAGGCATTTTTAAATAATTACCGTTCGCGATTCAATACAGTCTTCTTTTCCTGTTCAGTGTCACGAAGCGGAGAAACCACCACCTCCACCGTCACAAGAATCGAGATGGGAGTTTCCTAGAGATAAGCTTAGGTTACAAACGGTCCTCGGCCAAGGAAACTTCGGCCAGGTAAGCCGCTATTTTCTGCTCCGAACAAACTGAGAGCAACAAAAATTTCGTGGCCTGTCGCGTGATAATAAATCGTTGGATGTTCGCGGGTTTCAGCCTGAAACAGCCTGAAATTCTTCAGAAAACAGTCACTCGTTTTATTTTTTATGGGGGGGATGTAACAATTTGGGCATGTGAGAATTTGGGAATGTGAGAATTTGGGGATGTGAGAATTTGGGGAAGCGACAATTTGAGGATGTAACAATTTACGGAAGTGACAATTTGGGTATGTGAGAATTTGGGGATGTAACAATTTAGGGAAGTGACAATTTGGGGATGTAACAATTTAGGGAAGTGAGAATTTGGGGATGTGAGAATTTGGGGATGTAACAATTTAGAGAAGTGACAATTTGGGGATGTAACAATTTGGGAACATACCAATTTGGGGAGGTAAAAAATTTAGAAATGTGAGAATTTAGAAAATTAAGAATGTAGGATTTTAGAAACTACAAATTTAGAATTTAGGTAACGTGAAACATAAGAATTTGAAATTTTGGGAGCTTACGAATTTAAGTCCTCAAAAATTCAAGAGATCAGAAAAATCTTCAAGTTCCAAAATCTACATATAAACTTGAAAATTTGAGTCCATGAAAAGGTCTCAGTTCTCTCACAATAGCAACCTCCATAATCACCGTCCATTCGATGGAAAATTTTGTAGTTCGCGTGCTGATCTCAGCACCGACATTTTTCTCAATGATAAATCATTAATTATATAACGTTTCACGGAAACCGTAATGACACATTGTGTTTTCGAGAGTTCGACAGGCAAACGCACGAATTTTTTGTGCTTATCAGCGTTCAAGGTTTTCCAACGAATCTTCCAGGTACCTAACCAGACAAACACCGAAATGATCGATTATTCTCCATGATTTCTACTTCACAAACACATCATTCTTGGAATACCAACGAAACCATCGTCTTTCCACTGTCACATAATATGGAGAACAAATGTCGATGCACAATAATCGATACCATCGATCTTAATGCTGTTTTAATTGACAGGAAAAAATGTATTATCCGTAGCTTCGGAAACTTTTGTTAGGTAATGCTAATTCGTTACGTAATTTCGCGTGTAAGGGATGACACGTGACATGGAACGTTTCGTACTGGTTTTACGTAAAAGACGAAGCTTGTAATTAAAATGTTGTTAGAAAGTTGTAAAGTAAAATCAATGGTTTTCGTGTCGTTTAGGTGTGGAAGGCCGAAGCCGATGATTTGACCGGACATCAGGGGACCACTCGGTTAGTGGCAGTCAAGACCGTGAAAGAAGGTGCTTCCGATCGAGAAAAAGAGGATCTGGTTAGAGAACTCGAAATTATGCAGCAACTTGGCAGTCATCCGAATGTCGTCACCCTTTTGGGTTGCTGTACTGAACAAGGTGAGTTCGAAATTTAGGATTTTCTTGGTTATACAACTTTGTCGCGGGCAATTTTATGGGCGTTAAAATTATAATTGGGTTGAAATTTCGTGGGGGTTTGGGACTGCAGGTATTTGGAATTTTGATATTTTAGAATTTTGGAATTTTTGAAATTTGGGATTCGGAATTTTAGAATTCGGAGCTTTGGAATTTCAGAATTTTGAAATTTGGAATTTTGGAGTTCGAAGTTCTGGAATTTGGAATTTTGGAATTTCAAAATTTGAGAATTCGGGATCTTGGAATTTGGAATTTTGGAATTTCAAAACGTGGAATTCGAAATTTTGAAATTTCAAGACATGGAATTTCGAAATTTTGGAATTCTCTTGGAATTTTGGAATTTTGGAATTTTGGAATTTTGGAATTTTGGAATTTTGGAATTTTGGAATTTTGGAATTTTGGAATTTTGGAATTTTGGAATTTTGGAATTTTGGAATTTTGGAATTTTGGAATTTTGGAATTTTGGAATTTTGGAATTTTGGAATTTTGGAATTTTGGAATTTTGGAATTTTGGAATTTTGGAATTTTGGAATTTTGGAATTTTGGAATTTTGGAATTTTGGAATTTTGGAATTTTGGAATTTTGGAATTTCAGAATTTTGGAATTTCAAAACATGGAATTCGAAATTTTGGAATTTCAAAACGTGGAATTTCGAAATTGTGGAATTCGGGATCTTGGAATTTCAAAATTTTGGAATTCGTAATTTTGGAATTCGGGATCTTGGAATTTGAAATGTCGTATTTCAAAATTTTGGAATTTCGAAATTGTGGAATTTAGAATCTTGGGATTTCGAAACTTTGGAATTCGCAAAATTTGGAATTTGGAATTTTGGAATTCGAAGTTTTAGAATTCACAATTTTGTAATCCGTAATTGGGAATTTCGAAATTTCCGAATTCGCAATTTTAGAATTGAAAAATTATACTCTTGGCATATATCATTTTCTCATATTTAATATCAACAATTTAAAATCTAAACCGGCCCTACAAATATTAAGCACAAACAAAATATCGTCCAACTTCATAATTACATACAAATGATAATATACACCCCAAATAAAATTAATGACATTCGCAATATGCATCTCAAAGTGCGAATTTTCCTCAAGTATACTTCACCCCTACTCAAACTCAAAAAGCTTGAATTGCAAAAGGTTAACCACTCAGCTTCCTCCAGAACAGGCTTCATTAGACACTCAGTGTAATTAAATACCTCCGTATCTAGTAATTTATCTCTATTATCATAGAATCAACGCGTATCACAATCTCGCAGACCTTTCGCTACTTTTAACACCTTCACGTTCGATCGATAATATTAACAGGAATTGACCTCCCGCGTTTTTCTCTGGAATTCATTATACGATGCTCGTGAAGTTTGTAAAACGTAATAACTGGTTTCGAGTCCCTGGATATTTCTCGGTCAAGCAACGCGTCCTCCATTAATTTACGATTCCACGTTTCGAGGATGATCGTTCGATCATATCGCAATGCGTATCGGCATCGTTAGGGAATCGCGAGATAAGCATTCCTTGTCATTGAGTCACCAACGATATGCCTTTTTTCTTTTTTTTTTTCATTTGACTACCGCGTGATTGTTTACACGTGCGCTATTGTTTTGCAAATAAAAGGAAGATCGATTACTCGTTCTCGCGACGATGCTGTACGCCATCATCCTGCCGGTAATTGAGTAATAGTGTCGTGAACAGCCTCCTCGAACGAGGGACACGAGGATCTACGCAGTTGAATAATTGCGAAAACCATCTCTTCTTTATTGTAAACGAGACGTACTAGTATATTCCTTATTAGAATTAATTATGAAGAACTTGGATTAGATTTCTGGAAGTTCTATGAAACTTTCAACGTTCAATTTTTGTATATGAAGTTTTCCTTAACGTTTTATGAGAAAAAGAAATTTCAATTAAAAAGGTGTAAATTGTAAATTATTCGCAGAGTTTTGCAATTGAAATATTTTTGTAATGCTTATGCAACGTGTTAGTTCATATTTAATGTATCCTGCAAGAACTCGTCAGAATACACCAGAACGAAGTATATTTTTGCAGAGCTCATCACATACCAATTTGCTGGTGTCACGTATTGAAATTTGAGGCGTAAAATAAAAAACGACTCAGTTTTACGATGACGCTACGAATTTCAAACAATAATACATCACGGACATTACAAAACTGTTTACGTATGTGTCAGTAATTACCGTCCGATTGAAGACGGTATAATTGATTGCCTATTACATCGAAACAAGATAGTTAAATAATTCCGAATCCTATTCTAATCACGATTCGTAATTAACACGTTAACTGCGCCGGAGAAAAAAAGAGACGTATGTGTCACGGCATGTTGTAATTACAATTACTTACGATACAATTATTTCAATCTTCAATTTAACCTCTGCATTTGCTAACTGCTGATAAATATTGTGTTGATGCTCTTCAAACTTTATTTCAATTTTCAAGATTTTTGGGATGGGTTTTAAAATTTTTTAATTCTTCAAATTTTGAATTTTCAGAGTTTCATGTTTGGAGATATGGGTTTTAGGGATTTTAAGGTCTAGGGATTTGGGGGCTTAGAGATTTTGGGGTCTAGGGACTCCGGAGTGTAGGGATTTTGGAGTTTAGAGATATTGGGATCCAGGGATTTGGGGTCTAGGGATTTGGGGTCTAGGGATTTGGGGTCTAGGGATTTGGGGGTTTAGGGATTTGGGTGTGTAGGGATTTGGGAATTTAGGGATTTGGGGATGTACGAATATGGGGATATAGGGATTTGGGGATACAGGGATTTGGGGATGTAGGGATTTGGGGATGTTGGGATTTAGGGATGTTGGGATTTGGGGATGGTGGGATTTAGGGATGGTGGGATTTGGGGATGTAGGGACTTGGGCGAATAACGACTCAGGGACGTAGAGATTTGGGGATTTAGGAATTCAGGGATTTAGGGATTCAAGGATTTAGGAATTCAGTAAGGATTTAAGGATTTAAGGATTTAAGGATTTAAGGATTTAAGGATTTAAGGATTTAAGGATTTAAGGATTTAAGGATTTAAGGATTTAAGGATTTAAGGATTTAAGGATTTAAGGATTTAAGGATTTAAGGATTTAAGGATTTAAGGATTTAAGGATTTAAGGATTTAGGGATTTAGGGATTTAAGGATTTAAGGATTTAAGGATTTAGGGATTTAGGGATTTGGGGATTTAGGGATTTGGGAATTTAGGGATTTGGGGATTTAGGGATTTGGGAATTTAGGGATTTGGGGATGTAAGGATTTGGGAATTTAGGGATTTGGGGATGTAAGGATTTGGGGATGTAGGGATTTGAGTATGTAGGGATTTGGGGATGTAGGGATTTAGGGATGTAGGAATTTGGAGATGTGGGGATTTGGGGATGTAGGGATTTTAACATGTTGGAATTTGAGGATGTAGGAATTTGGGGATGTAAGGATTTAGAGATGCAGAGATTTGGGGATCTAGATAATTAAAGTCCTAAGAATTTCATAAGTTTAGAATTTGCGTATTTGCATGTATGAAAAGTGAAAATTTGGGGATTCGGAAATTCGGAAATATCAGAATTTGAGAAATTTCATAAATTCGGAAATCTGAGAATTTGCGAAGTTGCAAATCTTGAGACCATCAGTACTCAACTCGAAGACCCAAAATTCCGAAAATTTCAAACCTAAAAAATCTTCAAACCCGAAAATTTCAAAATACCAATTGCTCAAACCTTTCTAAATCACATCTAGAAAACTGACAAATCTCAATTATACATACAAATCCAGTTGCATTCATATATAAATTACTGTAACAACTAAGGTAAATGCACCTCCTCAGTAAAGAACATTGTAATCACACACGTTGATAAAAGACACAAAGGACTCGTTCACGCCGCACGTACACAGTAGCGAAAGGTTTAACGACAAGGGTATGAGCTTGAGACATCAAAAAGTTGGACGAGACAATCGTGAAGTTTTAGTCGTGCAGCAGTTCGAGGAGGGATGGCCATTATACTCGTTTCGTTGGAGTCCGCTCGGTATCGTCGGTCTGATCGTATAAATTTCCATACGCGTCCCCACGGCGACGATCTTCGTGGCACAATACGTCTATTAAGTCGGCGAAATGATCGTTCGTATGAGGTTCAGCCTGAAGAGGATACAGGAGGATCGATACGATCGAACGTCGATCTGGATTTGACGTCGAGGTATCGGTCCCCTAATACTTATGCGCTAGCCTTTTTTTCCCGATTGTATGCTAATCGATGCTCTTCTAGTTGTGTCTTCAAATTACGCCCCTAGTCGTGCCGTTTCCTGGTATCGTTAGAAATGTTGGGGATCATTTTTAGATGGGAGAAGTTTCTGTGAAAACGTATCAGGATTTGGGAGAAAACGTTTTCCTGTTTTGGGAGAAATCGCTTTTAGGTTAAGGAGGTTATTTGTGATCGAAATTTGGGGGTTGTGATATTTTGGAATTAGGTAAGTGGGAAGGTTGGGAATTTGAGGAGAAGATTGAGAATTTAGGGATGTGGGAAATTTTGGGTCTTGGGAAATTAGGAAGATGGAAATTGGGGAGGTTTTGATCGAAATTTTGGGGTTCTGAAATTTTGGAATTAGGTAAGTGGGAAGGTTGGGAATTTGAGGAGAAGATTGAGAATTTAGGGATGTGGGAAATTTTGGGTCTTGGGAAATTAGGAAGATGGAAATTGGGGAGGTTTTGATCGAAATTTTGGGGTTCTGAAATTTTGGAATTAGGTAAGTGGGAAGGTTGGGAATTTGAGGAGAAGATTGAGAATTTAGGGATGTGGGAAATTTTGGGTCTTGGGAAATTAGGAAGATGGAAATTGGGGAGGTTTTGATCGAAATTTGAGAGTTCTGAAATTTTGGAATTAGGAAATTGAAGAATCATGAAGTTTGAGAACTGAGGAACTTAAAAATTCATAAAAGCCCTAAAAAATTTGACAATTTGAAAATGAAAAGACTTGTAAAGTCAATCTAACACCTTCATGATATAAAAATCACAGCAACCGATTACTTCACTATTAAAAAATTAAATAATACTACAATATGAAACGTCCGTGACAAAAATAAATTCAGACCCCCTATACCCCACAATATTCCTATGAGTTCTGCGATAGGCTTCAGATCACATTACTACTAAAAAAAGTCTAAACCTGAAGCTGTATAAAGGATTACTAAACGCAACAAAACAATTCGAAACGGTTTGTGCGATATTTTTTGTTAACATCTATACTTAGAAGGGGCGCAAACAAAAAGGATGCGGATGAAAGGAATGGTCTCGATGATCGTCTACGATCATCAAGGTCTATTGAGGCCGAAAGCGTGTTCTCTTTGGGGCGCGTCTTCACGGAGGACCTTTCTCGACTGTGTTCGACATAGAAGAAAAAACACGCCCTCGTGGACTTACGGCTTCTAAAGATTTACGGCTTCTAAATTTCTTGGCCCCAACCCCTTTCTCGCGTTTATCGTTTCGGCGCTGGTGGGCGCGTTCTCGGATTCCTCGCGAGCGACGTTTTCGTCCTTTGACGACCGGCTCTCGTCAAAAGCAGTACCCTATCAATTATTTTCGATAATAACTCGACGCTTTTAACCTTGTCGAAGGGTGAACTAAATTTTTATGGCATCTTTCATTATAGTGGAATGTTTATAATATCCTCCACTTCGCCATTATGAACTTTTAGATAGTCGTAATTTTTTTTATAATTATGGGGTGACTTCGCGATGAAGAATTATATGAGGAATGTGAACAGCAATTAATTTCTGATTTACATTTTGTAACTTCATGTTTGATGATTTGAATGTTTGAGTACTTAAACATAATTGAATACTTTGAATACTTGAATATTTGTATGTTCGAGAAATTGCATAATTGAACAATTGAACAATGGCACAATTGAATAATGGCATAAATTGAGCAATTGAACAACTGCAATTTAACATAGAATAACTGCAGAATTGAAGAATGGAGAAATTGAGAATTTGAGAATTTGAAAAATTGTAAAATTGAAAAATTGAAAAATTGAAAAATTGAAAAATTGAAAAACTGAAAAATTGAAAAATTGAAAAATTGAAAAATTGAAAAATTGAAAAATTGAAAAATTGAAAAATTGAAAAATTGAAAAATTGAAAAATTGAAAAATTGAAAAATTGAAAAATTGAAAAATTGAAAAATTGAAAAATTGAAAAATTGAAAAATTGAAAAATTGAAAAATTGAAAAATTGAAAAATTGAAAAATTGAAAAATTGAAAAATTGAAAAATTGAAAAATTGAAAAATTGAAAAATTGAAAAATTGAAAAATTGAAAAATTGAAAAATTGAAAAATTGAAAAATTGAAAAATTGAAAAATTGAAAAATTGAAAAATTGAAAAATTGAAAAATTGAAAAATTGAAAAATTGAAAAATTGAAAAATTGAAAAATTGAAAAATTGAAAAATTGAAAAATTGAAAAATTGAAAAATTGAAAAATTGAAAAATTGAAAAATTGAAAAATTGAAAAATTGAGAAATTGAGAAATTGAAAAATCGATTGAATACTCGACGAATTGATAATTTGTAAAATTAAAAATTACGAATTTCACAAATTCCAGTATTTGAATATGTGAAAGTTCGGTAGTTTAACAACTTGGAAAGTTAGTAGTTAGAAAATCTGTAAATCATAATTACATTTCTCTTTTCAACTTGCAATCGAAATCCCACTAGTTTATTCGCTCGCAACAATGTTTCTCGGCGCTTTATCGTGTATGAATTAAGAGCAGTATTAAGGGGCCAAGTTTCTGTGCCGTATATTCTGATCTCGTGACAGCTCCGCGATCTCTTTGCCCGCTATAAACTATCGTGCACCGCGATCGTTATATGGCAGCCACCGGTTATCGATGACAAATTCTACCGATCCGCTTTTACGTCCAAGTATATATATCATTCGTTGAAACGTATCGTATTCATATTTCTTGACAGACTGTTTGTCGTTTCACTTTCTCCCTAGTCAAGTGCAGAATACGAATTTTTAGTTCTTTGGTAGTTATGGACGTTTAATGGATTTCTAAATCATCAATGATATTTTTGTTTCAACTTGCAAGATTCTGCGATTCATTTTTGTCGTACTAAATTATTCAGTTATTTTCCTCAAACGGGTGTGAAATTTTTAATTGCGTGTTGAATTAATCGATTGTTAACTAATGGATTTATAAAATGTCAATAGCGTTTCATTATATTTTCAGAATCGAATCTACAATTTATTTCAGTGATATAAGTTATGCAAAATATTCGAACATTTTTAGCGAAAGAAAAAGTTGGCCAATTTACATATCTGCATCTTTATTCGAAGTTAAACGGCAGCGTTTAAACACCCACGTGCGTCCAGTTAGCCGAGCACCGGGTACTAATTTTTCCGTGTCACACTATCTGACAGTAATTATCCCCTAATTATGTAAATGGAATCTCGGCGAATTGCAGGAAGCTTCGTTTCCTCCGTTCTAAGGATGCGAATAATGGACACTCGATATTCGACGCAATTATTTCGAATTAGCAATGTTTACTTCGTTCAAGAATATCACTCTGAGATTTTAATTGCCGTACACCCATTATCGAAACATAACAAATTGTTAGTTATAAATAAGTAATAGTCGAATTTAAAAAATTCTTTAAAAGTAACGCTTTGCATTCAAAAATATTATTTTTTATTTAAAAGTATTTTCACAGATAGCAATTCTAAAATTTTTACTAGAAATTACTTTTTTTAAATTATTATTTATCTTAAAATTTCCACTATTGTCTGTTTTATAATCACATATATAACATTATAGATTCAAATAGAAAACTGTAACAAATCGAATGGCGAAACCTCTGTCGAGTACAAAGGATTAAATGGGATGACCCCAGGGTCGTGGGACATGATTTACACTGTCTTATAATCAATAGACTCCTACGTCGCTTCAAGGTTACGAGATCCGATTCGAACGATTAGAGGTTAGCCGAGGGCTTAGTTAGAGTTATAGAATTTGACCTGGACAAATTTGGCTTATAGGGTCTGACGTGGATCATCTTGGGTCCAAGGTCTAAATCTCAAAGGATTCGACTTATACGTGATGCAATCATTATTAGATTCACTATCCAATATTCATCATTGGATCCTACGTTTACAAATCTTTATATCTTCACATCTTGAAATTTCACAACTCTAATTTTTCAAATTTCTTACTTCCAGATACTTCACTTGAAACATTTCAATTTAACCTTCCTGTATTTTGACGAGTCTCGCTTGTAATGCACTCACAGCTCAAATGTAACAAACTTTACTCAAATTTAGAGTACTCTTCAACTTGAACTTTAGGTACAACTATAACTTGCGTAATCAATGGTTGCTGAATATAAAATACTCACATTTTAATTTTCTTTGTTTTAATGATATAGCTCTGAATAGTTAGTTCTGACTGACGCATCTGATAAATAAATTGTACGGCAAGGAGTTGAATCAACGTCCAAAATTTCTGAAACCCATAAATTCAAAAATGGAAATTGTTTCGTTACTTCGTCCACGGGTAGTCAAATTGTAGCATGAAGTGAACTTCGCATCTAACCTTATCATTAAATGTGAACAATCTAAAAAAGAATAAAGATTAACTGCATAGCCATCCAATTGAAACAAGATGAGAATCCAACGCGACCGGTTTGAATAATTAGATCCGCCTATCTCTTCGAGTACAAATATTGTGGCGCGTTGTGAATCGTCGGGCGAACGACCGACAGAAAGAATACGCCCGGTTAACAAACCGAAGTTATTAGAGGGCTGTAATGCTAGCCTAATATGAGAGTTACGAGCTGGTGGAGGCAGCAAAAGCGGCGCCATAAGTTACAATCAGCCGGATACTACCCACGGGGGCCCGAAAGTGCTCCGGTTAAATTACTTTAAGGGCCTTCCCATATACCTCGAGCCATCGTACGCTCGCCATGGGGGTCCCTCTAATCCTCTGCACGCTCCATACCCGGACGTTCGTGTTTGATCAAACTGTAATTTCATGAAACTTTAAAGCCCCGCTGGAAATTAATTATGTAACCGCGGTTGTTTGCAGAGCCTCATTATCTCATACTCGAGTACGTGATGTACGGGAAATTGCTGGCGTATCTTCGCGACCATCGTACCAGGCAGGATTTCTACAATTTCAGCGAGGATTCGGCAGCGCTCACGTCCAGGGACCTCACAGTTTTTGGATATTGCGTGGCTAGGGGAATGGAGTATCTTGCGTCCAAAAAGGTCAGCCATCTTTATTTTTATTTCAACGATCTATGCACTCCAAAGTACATTACACTATTTTAACACTAAATCTACCGGTGTGTAAAATACACATGCTTTAAAATTAAAGATGGAGTTGAAGAATAAATAAACAAATTAAGATATAGGTTGGCACACGTAAATATAAGGAAAAATATCTTAACAAATTTCGTGACTTAACAATACGACTTTGGTGGTTTCAGTATTAAATAGGTATTTATAATGCTAGAAGTAGAAAAAAATAAATGAACGGTGAAATATAAAATAATAATACTCGTAATAATACTCTCCTAATAATACTATCTCTAGATAAAAATTTGTATCCCATAAAGTAAACTTAATTACACATTAAGGGAGATTGATATAACCAAAGAATTTCATTTGATGTTTCTAACCATGCGTTATAATCGGTCGTTAGTCTCCTTAATTTCTTGTAAACGCCGCGCACAGTATCTTGCACGAGTTTCAATGAAATATTAAAAAGCGTTCTGAGTTATTGCCTCGCCTTATTGGTACTTCCATTACTTTTACGGGACCTCTTGGTGTTGCTTGAGAATTTATTATGATTTTGTGTGCTCGCGTGCCTGAATGGTCTTAGCGTTCGAACGAAAAAACGAGACGGAGATCGCCCACTTGCAGCAACACCGTATCGAAAAATTACCTCTGATGTTATTACTTCATGTCACGTCCGTTTTGTTCTTAATTCACTTAAAATCTCTGCAAATCCTCTTAATTTATTTATTACAAAAAAGTTTTTGGATATTTTAATTTAGGAATTTGAAGATTTCGGATATTACGATGGGGGGAGGGTGAGATGGAATTTTAGGGATTTGGGGATTTAGGGATTTGGGGATTTAGGGATTTGGGGATTTAGGGATTTGGGGATTTAGGGATTTGGGGATTTAGGGATTTAGGGATTTGGGGATTTAGGGATTCAAGGATTTAGGCATTCAAGGATTTAGGGATTTAGGGATTTAGGGATTTAGGGATGTACGAATTTGGGGATGTAGGGATTTGGGGATGGTGGGATTTGGGGATGTTGGGATTTGGGGATGTTGGGATTTGGGGATGTAGGGATTTGGGGATGGTGGGATTTGGGGATGTTGGGATTTGGGGATGGTGGGATTTGGGGATGGTGGGATTTGGGGATGTAGGGACTTGGGCGAATAACGACTCAGGGACGTAGAGATTTGGGGATGTACATACACATTTGAGGGTACACATGATATGATATGAAGATTCACATATGAGGACACATAAATTTGAGGACATACAAATTTGAAGATTTAATCATTTAAACTCCACAGATTATAAGACTTAAAAAAATAAAAATTTAAATACTTCAAAAGAACGCCAAAATTTGAATTTTTCTTCAGAATTTCCACAAGTCCAAATATTAAAGATTTTTCAATGTCATACAACTGTCAAAGCTGTAAAGTGCAGCTAAAAAATGTCTCACAAAAAAATCTCCAATAACAAAATTCAATAAATCATTGGTTAAGTCTGAACACAACATTTTTGAAGGTCGCCAGCGAAGAAGCAACGGTTCGACAAACAGGTTGCGAACGAACGGTGTTTGTACCTCAAATATTATTTCACCTTGGTACAGAGTGTGTGAATCTGTGTCAGTGGGCAAAAACGAGGGTCGTGGTGCGTTCAAAAGCTACGAATTCCGTTATGGCCACCCCGCGGCCGATTGTCAAGCAATAAACGTACATTAGCAGGAACACGCGAAGACGTTTGTACCAATTAAAGCTTGAGTTGCCACTGCACGCGATTCGAACAGGATTTTGTCACGGATCCTTTCTCCCTTTTAAAAAATTAGCAGTTTTATTTTCTCTCTTGGGACAGGTTCCAAATTTCGTTTTGAGGTGAATGAATCGCTAATTTATTGTACTCGAATGAACTCACGATTTTAGCTGATTTGTAAACAAAGCTCTCTGAAATTTGTTCATCGTTTATATTGTATAATAGTTGTTCTTCAAAAGAATGCTACTTTTAGTTTAATTAAAAATTTAAGACAGTCTTACTGTCTTGTTTCAAAGTTGTGTAAAAATGAATGGGACATCGAATCTTTACTGTATAGAAAACAAAGTAAAGAAGAATTAAAGAAGAAGAAATTAAAGAATAAAATAAAATAGTAAAATTGTATAATAGTAAAGTAGTGAACTAGTAAAACAGTGAAATAAAGAAGTAAAACACTAAGCTAGTTAAATAATAAAACTAATAAGACAGACATATCAACAGGAAACAATTTTTTCCGCCCAAACGTCATCCTTCAAATGAACTCATTGTTTACCAAATAAATTACATACCCACACCCAAAGTAAACCTTCTCTGTAAAGATTTTTCTGAGAAATTTAAAAATTCCAAAAATAATATTTTTGAAGTGACTTCTTCGACAAAAAGACAAATCTTTATCCATGGTAAAATTGCTATTTTATAACAGGGAATCTTTTAAATGGGAAGAATTCCTTAGAGTTTTCGCAAGGACGGGTAATCGAACGAACAATTATTAATTATATCCTTCGAATGTCAAATTGCTGACGTCCCCGTAATCCTTTCGAAGAATTGCTACGCGAAAGCTAATTTTCTGAAGTTAGTGGACAGTAATTACTCATCGGAAGGAAAACGTGGTGTGCATTCCGGCTTGAAGAACATCAAGGTTCTTTTTCACTCGAACGACCACGATAAACGTCTCCGAAGCGTTGGAAAATTATCTATGTTAACTGTTAGGCTCGTTTTTATGTGCTTTTGAAATAAAATTATATGTCAAATAGTTTTAATTCGTGGATATTGATTTTTGGGAAATGTAGGGAATTTGGGGAATTTGAGAAATTTGGGAAATTTGGGGGATTAGGGAAATTTAGGAAATTTGGGAATTTTGGGATTTGGGAATAGTGGGATTTGGGAATTTTGGGATTTGGAAATTTTGGGATTTGGGAATAGTGGGATTTGGGAATTTTGGGATTTGGAAATTTTGGGATTTGGGAATAGTGGGATTTGGGAATTTTGGGATTTGGAAATTTTGGGATTTGGGAATAGTGGGATTTGGGAATTTTGGGATTTGGAAATTTTGGGATTTGGGAATAGTGGGATTTGGGAATTTTGGGATTTGGAAATTTTGGGATTTGGGAATAGTGGGATTTGGGAATTTTGGGATTTGGAAATTTTGGGATTTGGGAATAGTGGGATTTGGGAATTTTGGGATTTGGAAATTTTGGGATTTGGGAATAGTGGGATTTGGGAATTTTGGGATTTGGAAATTTTGGGATTTGGGAATAGTGGGATTTGGGAATAGTGGGATTTGGGAATAGTGGGATTTGGGAATAGTGGGATTTGGGAATAGTGGGATTTGGGAATAGTGGGATTTGGGAATAGTGGGATTTGGGAATAGTGGGATTTGGGAATTCTGGGATTTGGGAATTTTGGGATTTGGGAATTTTGGGATTTGGGAATTTTGGGATTTGGGAATTTTGGGATTTGGGAATTTTGGGATTTGGGAATTTTGGGATTTGGGAATTTTGGGATTTGGGAATTTTGGGATTTGGGAATTTTGGGATTTGGGAATTTTGGGATTTGGGAATTTTGGGATTTGGGAATTTTGGGATTTGGGAATTTTGGGATTTGGGAATTTTGGGATTTGGGAATTTTGGGATTTGGGAATTTTGGGATTTGGGAATTTTGGGATTTGGGAATTTTGGGATTTGGGAATTTTGGGATTTGGGAATTTTGGGATTTGGGAATTTTGGGATTTGGGAATTTTGGGATTTGGGAATTTTGGGATTTGGGAATTTTGGGATTTGGGAATTTTGGGATTTGGGAATTTTGGGATTTGGGAATTTTGGGATTTGGGAATTTTGGGATTTGGGAATTTTGGGATTTGGGAATTTTGGGATTTGGGAATTTTGGGATTTGGGAATTTTGGGATTTGGGAATTTTGGGATTTGGGAATTTTGGGATTTGGGAATTTGGGAATTTGAGAATTTTGCGATTTGGCAATTTTGGGATTCGGAAATTTTGGAATTTAAAAATTTTGGAATTTGAAAATTATGGAATTTGAGAATTTTGGGATGTGGCAATTTTGGGGTTTGAGAATTTTGGAATTTGGCAGTTTTGGGATTTGGGAATTTTGGGATTTGGCAATTTTGGTCTTTGAGAATTTTGGGATTTGGCAATTTTGGAATTTGAGAATTTTGGGATTTCAGAATTTTGCGATTTGGCAATTTTGGGATTTGGAAATTTTGGAATTTAAGAATTTTGGAATTTGAAAATTATGGAGTTTGAGAATTTTGGGATTTGGCAGTTTTGGGATTTGAGAATTTTGGGATTTTAGAATTTTGGAATTTGAGAATTTTGAAAACTTTCCATCAAATTTTCGAATCCCATTTCCCACCTCCATTTCATTCCTCATTAATTAACCCTGCGACCATCGAATGATCCATAGGCAATACTCTCCAATACCGAAAAAGATCAGTTAAGAATCCTCGATCGATCTTAAAATATATAATCAAATTTTATTAACGTTTTCGATTCTCCTCCGGATGAATGAATTGAAACGCAAATGCTTCCTCGTTAAAGAGCAATAATGACTGGTTTTCAGTAGCGAATCATGGTCGATTATTGAGTGGAAAAATGCGAAATAGTCGAGCATCATCTTCGACCGGTTATGATTCCTAAGAAGATACATACGTTCGAAACGCTCGAGGCAACAGGAACGATTGGAATCAGTATCCTGTGCTCGTCGTTGGAAGGACGACTTAAGAACGACCGAGTCAGGATGTCGATTTCAATCAAAGATTGTATACGACTTCGCAGAAATTCTTTTCAAGGCCGGTACACATGGGACACTTAATTGAAAATGGAAGCTGCGAGTAACGAGGAAAGATGAGACGATGTAAATTGTAGTTTATTGACTTGTGTGTAAAAGTGTTACACTTTCGATACCAATGGTTCTCAAACGATGTCACTCACTACTTCCATACGTTTCTTACCAGTATTTCACAAAATTATTATTTTAATTATCAAATGGAGTCTAAATGCATCGAATTTCATTTACAAGATATTTGATTTTATGCAGAACATATGTTTTATTATTTTTTAATTTATAACTTACTGTTTTTGTTTTTGATATATTGAGACATTTTCTATTTTTAATTTTGTGATCTTATCGTTAGTGGCTTTACCATTTTGCAATATTTTCGTGGGTATAAGGGTTAGAATGATAGGTTAGAGGTTGAGGTTAAGTGTCTTGTGCGAATTCAAATATTGCGTGAAACATTCATTTTATTTTTATACAATATTTGAAGCCATTTCTTTTACAACATTTGAGATTTTCATAATAACAAATGTGTCTAAAGACAAACTTAGTGACGTTCTGAAAACATAGACACAAAAATCTAATGATACCTTATTGAACATAGTTCATTCAATATTTTTGAACAAACATAAAAATGACTTAAATTTTGATAGAATTTTGTCAATTACTAAATTCTGTATTACTGTTCTTTGGCAGTATTGTTCATATTATTTTGTCCTTTCGTTCGTTCATATTTTATCATAAAATTAATAGCCGTCTGACCTCAAACGCAAAGACAAAATTCTTTAGAAACATCTGGAACTTCCAACGAATTATTCACTTTCGACTTTCTTCGAAAACCTTAACAAAAGAGATTCTCCTTCGACAGATAAACAAATGTTGCTTATCAGATAATGCAAACATAACCCTGACTGAATAACGATAACAATCCATCAGAAATAAAGACATCCACTTACGATATTTATAACCGATCGAACACTTGTCCAAAATATTTATCGAAGGAACAACATTCAGACTATCGACCATTGTTATTCTCTTAAAAAGTGATTCACCTGTTCTTTCAACAAGTAGAAAAGCAATCGAATGCAACTGCAAAAATATATTTTTCCTTATTAAATCGCTAAGACGTAAAAACCCGATATCTCGTTTCTAAATGGATTCAGATTCGATCTTTTTCCTCGAGACGTTCGATCGAAAGGTCACGTAATAAATCTAAAACGTATAATAAAACGTATACACATCCGGCTGCTCTTGACATTGAATGGCAAAGGTTCATTAGCATTCGCCATGTTGAAACGGCCAGTTCGTGAGATTTTCCAATCTTTCGCATCGAACCGATACTTTTTTATGAATCGTTTTCGTTTAGAACAGGTTCCACAATGATAACGGTGTTACCGGTAGAAAGTACGATATATTATAGCTGACACGCTGGTATTTTTAATTAATTTTGGGAACCGAAGAGTTTGGGATACTGGTGACAGAGGGTAATGAACATCTAAAGGAGATAAAAGTGTCATGTAACATTTCTTCGATAATCGACTTTTTATAGCTATACATCTTTCTGATCGTTATTATCATACGTTTTAATATGTAAAATTCATACGTTGAGATTTTGGTGGAGCATTGGGTTTTTAATTCAGAAGAAAAGGGACATTTTGATATCATTATTGTAGTTTAACTTTGTGTTATAGTACTTGTGATGTGTACTACATATGTAGTAAACATCACGTTGTTCCGCTACGTGCGGCATCGGTACGCTTCATATCGTCACGCGTGGTATTGTCCCGCGTGATATTTCTGCGCGTATTCATATGTGTGGTAATTCCTATACGTGATAATTCCTGCGTTCGGTTTTTCTGCGCGTAGTAATTTCCATTAATAGTATTCGCACGCGTGGTATTCATATGTGTAGTATTGTCACATGTGGTATTTCTACGCTTGGTACTCCTACGCATAGAATTCTTACGCGTGGTAATTCTTACGGGTAGCACTTCCACGCGTAGTGTTCCTACGCGTAGTATAGTCACACGTGGTATTTCTACATATGGTATTCCCACGCGTAGTATTCCCACGCGTAGTATAGTTATGCGTGGTATTTCTACGCATGGTATTCCTACGCGTGGTATTTCTACGCTTGGTAATTCCTGCGAGTAGTACTTCCACGCGTGGTATTTCTACATATGGTATTTCCACACGTGGCACTCTTACGCATAGTATAGTCGTGCGTGGTATTTTTACATATGGTATTCCCACGCATGGTATTCCTACGCGTAGTATAGTTATGCGTGGTATTTCTACGCGTGGTACTACTACGCGTGGTATTTCTACGCTTGGTAATTCCTGCGAGTAGTACTTCAACGCGTGATATTTCTACATATGGTATCTCCACGCGTGGTACTCTTACGCGTAGTGTAGTCATGCGTAGTACTTCTACGCTTGGTAATCCCTACGAGTAGTACTCCCACGCATGGTATTCCTACGCTTAGTATAATCATACGTGGTATTCCTACGCGTACTAATTCGTACGCATAGTATTTCAGCGCGAGGTATTTTTACGCATGATAGTTCCTATGCCTAATATTCCCACACATCGTATATCCACGCGTGATAGTCGCACGCCTCGTATATCCACGCGTGCTATTCCAGCGCTATAAATATTACCACGCATAATATACCAACGCGCTAAATATTACCACATGCGGTATTCCAACGCACATTATCGCGACTTGTAGTACCATTACACGTCACATTGCAACATATTACATATCGCCACTGCCTATGCTACGCGTATTTTCACGCATGTTATTGCACTGCTTACACCATAAGCAATCAAATATTTCCAAGAATTCCTCTCATAGATCTTCATCAGTGACAGTATAACGCAAATCTCCTATATCAATAGCAACTATATTTTAATAATGAACTAGCAGTTGTGCTGAACATTTATGCTAACACCGTTTGATTAATAACAGTTCGATAATACCCCTAAGAAAAAAGTGATATCAGAACGGGATCAAGTATTTTAGCATTCCGATGATGCCAACAATAACGCATTCCTAGGAGTAATTAAATTTCATATTTATCGTCACGCCGGACAATTTCTGCTCGAGTAGCTCTCCTACAGCTTGTCCGTTCGCGAACGTAAAATAAATCAAGTTTAGCTTCTGCGTTGACTAACAACAGGCTTGTGACGAATACGCGATAAATCATGCGCCTAATAAATAATAACAAGCAATAAAGGGTGCATAGCTACCGTTGCGTTACGAAGCAATGGTTTTCGCATCTCGTAAAATCGACCGGTTGCATTATGGTCGTCGAAGAGTAGGCACGATGATCGAGACTGTTATTCATGAGCGGAACCAACGCGGAGGATACAATTTCGCGCGTCCTCTCACGCGACAACGTGCGGTTGCGTAACAGGACGACAACCTGCGGTTATGGGAAAGCATTGATCGACCTGTGCTCTCGGTTTCACAGATCATTCACCGTGATCTCGCTGCGAGGAACGTGTTGGTGGACCACAACAAGCTGTGCAAGATCGCTGACTTTGGCATGTCCAGGTTCGCAAACGAGGACGGAGAGGTGATCGAAACGAGACACGGGAGAAACGCCCTACCCATCAGATGGATGGCTCCGGAGTCTTTAATTTACTCACTGTTCACCACCAAGACGGATGTGTGGAGCTTCGGTATCTTGATGTGGGAGATTGTCACACTTGGTACGTATTTTTTACAATCACTTCTACATTTCATGCTATAGTCGAATATTACTTAAACGATACTGTGGCTGATTCTTCAAGTTGAAGGACATTTTTCAATCTTTATTTTCATGCAGTATGAAATGAATATGAACATCAGTCCATGTTATCGGTGACAGAACATTTTCTTGTCCACATGATTTATGTGGTCAACATCATTTAAATGTGTACATCTATTGAACATAACCTCAGCCAGGTATATAAACCTATTGAACACACCTAGACCAGATAAGAGTCACATCCTCTGATCATCCTAATCGAGCCACGAAACTTGAAGTCCACCTTTCGATCTTCATTCTCATGTAGTACGAAATAATTATCCTCAATCCAGATGATCACTGACTCGAGAAAAATTGCTTGTCCACAAGGTTTGATGTGGTTGACAACATTTAAATCTGTACATCTATTGAACATAACCTCAGCGAGATATATAAACCAATTAAACACACCTGGACCAGATAAGAGTCACATCCTCTGATCATCCTAATCGAGCCACGAAACTTGAAATCCACCTTTCGATCTTCATTCTCATGTAGTACGAAATAATTATCCTCAATCCAGATGATCACTGACTCGAGAAAAATTGCTTGTCCACAAGGTTTGATGTGGTTGACAACATTTAAATCTGTACATCTATTGAACATAACCTCAGCGAGGTATATAAACCTACTGAACACACCTGGACCAGATAAGAGTCACATCCTCTGATCATCGTAATCGAGCCACAAAACTTGAAATCTACCTTTCAATCTTCATTCTCATCTAGCATAAAATAGTTATCATTGATCCAGATCATCGTTGACATTACAAAAATTGCTTGTCCACAAGATTTAATGAGATTAATAACATTTAAATGGATACATCTATTGAACATACCTCGATCAGATGTATAAATCCATTAAGCATACCTGGATCTGAATTCAGATAAGAGTTGCATTCTCTAATCATCCTCTAGCCACAAAATTTGACCTACCTTTTGATCTTTCATCTAGTACAAAATTATCATAGATGCATTTGACACGAGAAAAATTGTTTATCCACAGGTTCAACACCGTACCCGGACATGACGGCCCGAGAAGTCATGCGGAACGTGCAGAACGGTTACCGACTGGAGAGGCCTTCGCACTGTCGAAGCGAGCTCTTCAGGGTGATATCCCGATGTTGGCACGCCGATCCAGACCGTAGGCCAGAATTCCAGACGCTTAGAAGGGATCTGGCGCAGTTACTCGAGGACAACATGAATGGACATTACGTTGATCTTGAGAGTTTCGCCTCGGAATGTACCGACTGAGGAGAGAATGATTAAAGTGGACCTTTCCTTGTCATTTTGATCCTTGAGAAGGATCGTTTCGTGAAGATTCACCATCTCGATTTGGACTTTCCCGATTTGGTGAAATTAATGGAAAGCTCTTCGTGCACGCTGCGAGTAGCGCGAGTCTTCTTTGTACCAAGTAATGCGTGTGGTTTTACGGAGAGGATCGGGAATTTATCGATAGATTGCAACGAATGATGGATGAGAAATTGATGGAGGAAATATGAATTGTTCTGTGGAGATTGAACAGTGAGGAGTCGATGGAAAATGAAAGTTTCGATTACAGAATCGAGTTTGTGATATCGAAAACGTAACAATAAGTCGATGTTGAAATGCTGATTTAAATGATATCAGAGTCCGTCCATTTATATTGAATTTCTTCGTCAGTTGTCATTGCGAATTTTTGTATCGATTTATGTGATTATTGTGAACGAGGAATAAATGAATTGATGCTTCAAATATTTTGTGCAGTTAGTTGATTTGAAATTGTTTGTCATTTTGAAACAGGGTCGGATGCAGAGGGGATATAAGTTTGAGGATTTGGGGATTTCAGAGTGTGGAAATTTGGAAATTTGGAGGTTTAAAGTTTTGGAGATTTTAGAATTTGGGGGTTTGAGAATTTGGGGATTTGGGAATTTGGGAATTTGGAGATTTGAGAAATTAGGGACGTGAGAATTTGGGGGTTTGAGAATTTGGGGATTTGGGAATTTGGGAATTTGGAGATTTGAGAAATTAGGGACGTGAGAATTTGGGGAGTTGAGAATTTTGGGATGTGAGAATTTGGGGAGTTGAGAATTTGGGAATGTAAGAATTGAGGGATATGAGAATTTGGGAACATGACAATTTGGGAATGTGACAATTAGAAAATTTGAGAATTTGAGGGTGTAAGATTTTAGGAACTTAAATATTCTGGAATATAAAAATTTGTGCTTACAGGAATTTGTAAAATTTGAAAATTTTATAACTCAGAAATTTCCAAATCTCAAACCTTCAAAACTCAAGAATTACAATCATTTGTTAATGGTAGATTTAAAAGTGTTCACCTCTACATAGTATACAGAACTTCAATCATTTTATTCTCCATAACCCATAACTAATTAACATAAAATTGATTATTACTACTCTTCACACGAAAAAAAATTCTGCGTTCGTCCCTGTTAGAAACATTTCTTTCTCAATTTACTCGAGGTGCTTCAGGATTCCGTGAAAGTGTTAGCGACGATCGTGAGAAAATAAAGGATTGTTATGTGATTGATAGCTTAAGGGGAAGACAAAAGTTGATCGGTGTGCGTGTGAATGGATTAGACATTAAAATGCGGCGGGAATCACAGGACGCGGAGGGAATGATTTAACAATGCAAATAAAAGCACAGAGTAATCTGCGGTCTGTACAGTTAAGGATAACAAATGTTCTTTATTGTTCGCTGAACGCGAAAATGTTTAAAAAAAGTGAAGTATTGTTTTTAGTATTATTATCGCGCATCTAGTGTTTTCAATTAACGCCAATCGTTACGAGCTCGTTTATATCGGCATTAAATTGAAACCGTTATAAAATACAAGTTTCATTAAATGTAAAAATTATTTTTGTAACTGTTACTTCGAACAAAAAATTGACATTCATGTTAATAATTGTCGGTTCGTTAATTTTTTGTAAAATTAAGAAACTTTCATATTCGAGCGATCAATACGTTCCACATCGAAACTGAACGTGCAAATAAAAATTTATTTGTAAAAGTTCATCAGTCTGAAAAACGTTTATTTATTCGGGAGATGAATAAATTAAATTGTTAAATATTTATTGAATAAAGTAGATTCGAACTTAGAAAGTGATTGGAAAGGAATGTATTGATAAATTACTTTGTAATTGCCTTGTGTGCCTTTTAGCGTGATAATTTCTCGCTTTTGAGCATTGTACATAAAAAGGACGCATTGTCAGTGCGTCGTATCAATCAAAAAGAAAAAAGAAAAAAAAAGAACAATAATCTTCATCAACCTTGTCATCGCAATTGCATCGAAGGTTATTATTGCTATTATTATTTTCATATCATTAATGGATCGTTATCAAACTCGTACGTATAACATAGAGCTGTACAATTTTTAGACCTGTTCTTTTTTTATTGGACTCGGATATTTAAACATTTAGGGTAGTTGACAAATATGGTGCTATTCGAAAGCACTGCGAATTTAAAAAAAATAATTGTATATTCGAAATTTAGGTAGCTTAAATTTTGGTAGGAGTACTCTGATCAAATTGTATTTTGAAATGTTAGTAGTCGAATGTTTGAATTATATTGTATAGGATTTCGTTGCTTAAAACTCAAGCACATCGGATATTACAAAATTTCAATAATTAAATACTCTAAATTTAAATATTTATAATTTTGCTACGAATACTATTCTCTGATTGAATATTCAAATATTTCAAAATAGTTGAAAACTAGTAGTAAAATATTCAAATAATAGTTAACAAGAATCCATTATTAAAAATTGACGAATTTGAAACACTTATGCGAATGATTCAATTACATAAATTAAAAATTCGAATATAATTCAAATATTCGGTCATTCAAATAAATCGAATATTCGAATTTTGATAACAGCTCTAATATAAGATTTCGATCGTCTTATCTTTAATCATTCTAGTCTCCCTCGATGCGTCTGGGGTGGCGATTGGTCTTTATTAAGCACAAAATCGCGCGTAAATTTATTCTGGATTGTGATATCTGCGTACTCATTCTTCTTTCTCACTCTTTTTGTAATGTATGATATATCGAGAGCTCCCTCAGAGCCGATTGAAGCCCCACCATTGTCGGTTGTTTTATTTTATTTAGATATTTGTAAGTTAACACACGTCGATTTATGTAGTTCTCTTCGAGAATCTCCGACCTCGCTTCCGTATTATCGAAGAGAAGCGATGCTATCGATATTCGACGTTATTCTGCGTATAGTTTTTACAATTCGATCGTATATATACAATTTTTATCCTCCTTTTACCCGCCCCCCCAAAAAAATGACAAGAATTATTGTATGTAAACTCGAGTACTGTAAGGAGTTTCTCTTTCTGTCAGTAAACGTTTTCGCAAATTTTGTTTCGATTCTTATTCGTCCACGATTTTCGGTGTAACGTTTCTTGCGAAATATATCTTGGAAAATACATGTACGAGTTTTATTATTGAAATATTGAGAAAATTGTGAAGTTATAACTTGATATTAAGGAAATTAGGAGGAAGTTGATGTAGGATGTTGATTATGATATAGGTTTTGTTTCATTCAATTTTTGATTTATAAATTTATGTATTTCTATATTTTCAAATTTCTATATATTCAAGCTTCTATATTTTCAAGTTTCTGCATTTCCAAGTTTCTGCACTTCCAAGTTTTTACATTTCCAAGTTTCTACGTTTCCAAATTTTTATATTTTTAAGTTTCCACATTTCCAAGTTTTTGCACTTCCAAATTTCCACATTTCCAAGTTTCTATACTTCCAAGTTTCTACATTTTCAGGTTTCTACATTTCCAAGTTTCTACACTTCCAAGTTTCTACATTTTCAAATTTCTATATTTCCAAGTTTCTGCATTTCCAAGTTTCTGCACTTCTAAGTTTCTACATTTCCAGGTTTCTACGTTTCCAAATTTTCACACTTCCAAGTTTCTACATTTCCAAATTTTCACACTTCCAAGTTTCTACATTTCCAAATTTCTATATTTTCAAGTTTCTACATTTCCAAATTTTCACACTTCCAAATTTCCACACTTCCAAGTTTCTACAATTCCAAATTTTTACATTTCGAAGTTACTACATTTTCAAGTTTTTATATTTCCAAGTTTCTGCATTTCCAAATTTCCATATTTCCAAGTATCTATATCGCTATGTTCCAAGCTTCCGTATTTGTAAATTGATGCATTTCCATATTTAAAAATTTCAAAATTGATACAGTTCCAAATTTCCAAACATACAAATTTCTACATTTAAAAATTTCAAACTTTGCAAAAGTGGATATCCACTCTTACTATAGATACACGCATTTCAACCCCCGTACACTCCACATAATTACTTTAAATACATTCCAGCCCTCGTATAGTCCACAGAATATATTTTCCAAGACCTCTAATATATTTATCCTGCGATTACACAAATTGATATAAAATTACGATGAAACTGTTCATACTTCATTCAGCTATCACAAAAGAGTGTTACAGTGATCAGTAACCTGGTATATCAAACAATCTGGGAGTTCGGTTCGAAATAAATTATCCTTCCTCTCGAGATTGTGCAACAGAGTTCGATTAATAGAATCTCGTTTGCCGTGGCAGACGAATGTATAGCTATTCAACGAACGAGATAAGGGCTAAAGGTTCAAAATGACGGTACCATTTGGACTTAACCAATCAGAGTTCGGTGGATCAGAAGGAAAAAGCCGCAGAAGAGAAGAAAAAGAATAAATGTTGTCATTAATACAGTCAAAAGACATCGACAAATAATGTAATTTCGCTGGAATTTCGATTGGAACATTTTTTCACTTATCGTGGTATTCGTTCGAAACACGTGAAACTTTCGAGTCATTTATTTTGTTCACACGAAATACTTTCTGGGAGAACGATATAAAAATAATCACTCCCAAATAAAGCTGTAATTTAATTCAAGTCTAAAGGAATGCGGTTATAAATTTCTAAAATGTAAGTTTTAATTCAGATAATAATAATAATGTTAATAATAAAAATACTTAATGTTGCAATTTTTGTACAGTTTATTGATAAATAATGTAATTAGTCTACGATATGAACTGTGAAATATATTTGCCTTTAGACATACTGTTAGTTGTAATTTAATTCTATAGTCACTATTAAAATGAGGGTAGTTAATAAATTTTTAAAATGTACATTTTACTTCAGCATGTTAATATTAGTAATAAATAATGTATTAAATATTACTATTTTTCTACTGTTCGTGGATAAATCAATCTACAATATAAACTCCAAAAAATTACCTTCGTAAATATTGAAAGCTACGATAAAATTATGGGAACAATTCAAATATTCAGAATTAATAAACGTCGGAAATTAAAGTAATTGTAAATTTACTTCAGCGATCCAACAAAAAAAGAAGGAGAATAAAATGAATATATTAACATAATTTCTATATCTATAACAAGTAGCACATAACGCAAACTTAAAAATAATCACTTTCTCCTCACAGTAAATTGCAGTTTAATCATGCGAATCTAAGAAAACGATCAAAACGATCTGTACACGAACAACATTTTAGTACCAAACGGTACTAGCATATCGATAAAATCAGAATTTATAGTTAAATTATTTTCTCCGGTGTCAAAACGTTCGACATCCATTTCATCCAATTAATGTTAGCCGGATGCCTTCGAAGTAAACGAAATCGTTAGACGACGTTGCAGAACCAACTGAGAAGAGAACATGGAAACTGTTCGAAAAACGAATTATTTCAGGGTCTCCCAATCATCCGACAACTGTCAGTAGCAATCGTTTGGGTCCCGTATGAAGGTTCTCTGCACTTGTCTTCACCCAACAGAGTCGCAGCATGCAGCGAAGATAAGGATCGTTATTGTAAATTGGATCGCATTCCAGAAATCCTGAAACTGCCGTAAAACGTCTGGTCGCGTTTATAGTTACTTAGGTATATGTATTTTCACGATCGAAACACGACGAACACCAAAATGGAAGAAAAAAGAGAACATACCTATGTAAAGACGATTCGTTGAACAGCTATTTTCTTGATTTTTAGATAGAAATTAGATCTTGTTAGAGTAGGATTATTTTACAAATCAAGAAAACGTAAATAGATATGTTAGCATAGAAATTTTATGAAATTAAAGTTGATAACTAAATGTTCGTACGGTATTTTGTAATGACTTTTAAATAAACATTTTATTATCGCGTACGACTATACTGTTCGTGATGAACATTTGGTGATTTAATGCGAGGCGATTTGATACGTGAAAATTTCTATCCGTGATAATTCGAACAAGCGGCAATATAACGCGTTACAATTCGAGCACGTGTCAATTGTAACGTGTGGCAATATAAGGTGTCGATTCCAACGTGTAGCGATTTCAACGGGTGGCGATATAACACGTGACGATACAACACGTGGCAATTCCGAGGCATGCCGATACATCGCGTGGAAATTCGAACACATATCCATTCTAATGTGTGGTGATTTGAATGCGTGGTGATACAACGCATGGTGATATAACGCGTGGCAACTCTAATGCGTGGCGATATAACGCGTGACGATTCTAACGCGTGGTGATTCTAACGCGTGGTGAAATAATGTGTGGCAATTCGAACGTATAGCGATTCTAACGCGCGGCGGTATAACGCGAGGCGATATAACACGTGGTAATTCGGACGCGTGGACTTTTCAACGCGTGGTGATTCTCACGCGTGGCGATTCTAACGCGTGGCGATTCTAACGTGTGGTGACTCTAATGCGTGGCAATTCGAACGTATAGCGATTACAACGCGCGGCGATATAACGCGAGGCGATATAACACGTGGTAATTCGGACGCGTGGACTTTTCAACGCGTGGTGATTCTCACGCGTGGCGATTCTAATGCGTTGTGATTCTCACGCGTGGCGATCCTAACGCGTGGTAAAATAATGCGTGGGAATTCGAACGCATAGCGATTCCAACGCGCGGCGATATAACGCGAGGCGATATAACACGTGGTAATTCGGACGCCTGGACTTTTCAACGCGTGGTGATTCTCACGCCTGGCGATTTTAACGCATGGTGAAATAATGCGTGGCAATTCGAACGTATAGCGATTCCAACGCGCGGCGATATAATACGTGGTAATTCGGACGCGTGGACTTTTCAACGCGTGGAAATATAATGGGCAGCAATTCAAACGTATAGCAATTCGAACGCGTGGCGACATAATGCGCGATAATTCCAACATATAGCGATTTCAACGCGTGGCGATATAACCCGAGGTAATATAACACGTGGGAATTCGAAAATATAGTTTTTAACGCGTGGCGATATAACGCGTAGTAATTCGAACGCGTAAACTTTCCAATACGTGACAATATTACGTGCGGCGACATAATGCATGGTAATTAGAACGTGTGTCAATTCTAATGTATAACAATTTCAACGCATTACAATTCTAATGAACAATAATTTTTTAAAAAATATCTCTAAACAGGGAGATATCGCTTATTACACGTTTGGCTATTCGATATTGTCGGTCATTCAATACACAGGTATTCATTCAAGGCACCGGTGGAAAGTCGTCGATTACTTTAACGAGCTAATTACCGTAGCTGGCGATCTCACGAAGGTCACTGGGGTACAATCGTGCAGGAACATCCTGCAAGAGCCACGGCGTCTAGGTCGCGGTTACTATCTATAGAAAGACTTTCGCTTAGAAATCTGACGATATGCAGGTAACGATGTGAGAGTAACTTTGAAATGGAAAAGGTGTAAAACTCGTAAACGTAAAACGTTTCCGATTGGACTTAACTAATGTCGTATCGTGGAAAACCAGACGTGCTGCAGCGACGATTTGTGTTTCTCTTTTTGTTTATGTGAAGCGAACCTTGAAATATTTAGCACATGGTATTTCAAGATGTAAATAGAAATTGTAGGTGGCTGAAGAAAACGGGGACTTTCTCTTGTAATCGTTTTTTAATTTGCACGGGTTATTTAGTGTCTGTCTGACGTGATAGTGAGAACATCTTGTTTCGATCAATTAACGTCTAGGTATTCGACAGTAACTCATACCTCTGCCATAGTTAAATTATGGCAATTTTTTATTTTCACGTTAAATTGTTAGATTATGATGGACATCTTGTGTAACTTTTATTGTTATAAATTCGGTAATATCGAAATAATAGTGTTTTCTGACATTTTAAATAGACTGCAATTTTATGACATCACATAAGATTTTTATTTGGAAGTGAATTGAAGAAATATCTCAGTAAACGGATCTCTCGGTGTAAATTATAATGTCTGTTAAATTTAGAAACGCGAGTCTAAAAATGTGACGAGAAAATCCTCTTCAATCCGAGGAATGATCGCGCAATTAAAAGTAAGATCGCCGCGACGCGTTCCACTTTCGTTCGTAGCCGGCTGAAAATTCTGCCTTTCGTTGAACAACGTTATTTTTTTCGATAGGAACATTAACGAGTTGGTGACCCAAATATTCCTCGAAACGAGCGCGTTTCACTTTGCTTTCCAATTTTTATTTACTATCAAGCCGTACGCCGGTGATAATTGTTTGATCTACGAGCGTTAGATAATGCGTTTCCGAGCGAACTATAACAACGTAAATTGCAATGTGCATGGTACATTTCTCGGAACGTAAACACCATATTTTTCACATTCTTATTTTTTTTTAATAAATTCATGGAAGTATTAAAATCATCACTTCTCAAGTATCTTATTTTATCAAGTATCTAAGCCTCTTATCACTTTTGAAGGATGATAAGACCTTAATAACAATTGCAAGATCCTAATTGCCTCCTTCAAAATTTCCTTAAGGACATACTAAAAAATATGTAAATATTTGAACGTCTGAAGAAATTTTTGATTCTCAAAAAATCAAAATAAATTTGCAATTTAAACATCAGTCCTATTAAAAATCAGCCATATTTTTCTTCCGTTCCATCGATGCACTTACCAATTCTAGTGCCTTCGAGCGCAGCGTCAGTTGAACTTGTAACACCGTTCACGTGGAGGCAATAACCATTCCTTTTATCGTCGTAACTGACCCGTCGATCGATTCATCGATTATTCGTTTCTATTTTCTCGGTTCGCTTAAACATCCGAATGGCTGCCCTACGACACGGACTATCGTTGAACCATTCGAGGAAACACCTTACGGCGCCTTCTTACGATCTTTATGCGGAGCGATCCCTTTGGAATGCAGATTCCTTGAACTCGACAGTGGAAACGATGCCTTGAATCTCGGCGCAGAGACACTTCGCGTGTGACCACGGGGGGAAACTTATAGAGTAAAACTAGTGAACTACAGGAGGCTCTTTGCGATTCAATTTAACGATGTATGTAGTGATGTAGGGTTATAGGAAAATAAGGATGTAGAGATACAGGGATGTGGGGATGTGCAAGATATTGGGATATGAGACTATAGGTATGTGGGAGTATATAATATTATATGTATGTAGAAATATAGGGACAGGACATGGCAATTGAAAATATGGATAGAAGCATAGATAGAAATTTAGAGATATACAATAGAAATAGATAGAGATAATAGAGTACATATTTATTGTATAATGTATGTAATAGATTGTATTACATGTGTGACAATATTGCATATTGTGTAATGTATGTAACAGATTACATATTACATATATATTACATATATTATTTTTAGAAATACATGGGATACAGAGATCTCTGAGTATGTGTAACAATCTAGGCATATAGAGATCTTCAGATATAGCAATCTAGAGGGACCTTCATATATAGCAATCTAAGCATATAGAAATCTTGAGATATAGTAACCTGGGAATATAGGTATCTTGAGACATAGTGATCTAGACGTACAGATATAGAAATGCAGGTAACTGTAAATGTATGAAACTGGGGACCTAGAGATTGAGAAATGAAGAAAGGGAATACAGGAATTGGGGGATATAGAGATTGTAAGTTATAGAAATTTAGAGATATAGAGATTTGATAATGTAAGGTGTCAGGAATATAGAAATATAGATATGTAGGTCCATAACGAGATTTGGAGATATAGGCTGAAGATGCAAGAATCTGGAGATGTAAGGGATGCCAGAATCGCACTCTGCATGATATAAACTTATGTCACAGTGCTATATCGACTACTAAGAAAAGTACTAAAAAAAAGCACTAAAGGAAGTAGTTATTAAAATTATTAAACAATTCCAAAAATTGCTTAATACGTAAGATCCCATTACGAGAACCCACAATTAAGCAGAAGAATAAGGAAGCAGAGAAAACGTAACGCGCTGTCCAATGAAGGGTGACACGATCGGGCGATTTGCTCCCCGAGCAGAGATGTGCCCGAGAAGGAAAGAGGAGGTCGAGTGGCCGACTTCTTGTTCATCTCGAACACGACACGCTTATCCACCGTCCGGTTATCTCGGTCACGAGCTATACGAAGGGGGAACACGCAGGACGAACCACGCTCGTTCCTACATTTTATCCCCACGTGAGAGCCTCGATTCTTCTTCTTCAGCGTCTCCTTCCACCCGACGAAGTCCGTACGCACTGCGCGACCGCTCGAACAACAAGTCGGTCTACGCCTCCACCAGCGCGGAAGTCATCGAACCAACGTGGAAACTTCATCTTCCTCATCCGAATAAACGGATAAACGTCAACAGCTCTGAGCAACCATTTTTCGTTAGAAACTCTTGAAAAAAGTTGTGAAAGAAACGATCAATTGAAGCAACTAACAAATTCAGCTAGCAATTCATATTTGGTGGTCTTAAGTTAATTTTTCTTGCCAATACTTTGCTTGCTAAATGGATCAATAATTTCGTGGAAGATTGATGGTGACAGTGATAGTGATTTTGTGCAACGGGAATAAGGAAGTTGATGAGAGATCACAGGAAGAATGGCGCGAGGATTACTCCTGATTACGGTGGTAAGAAATAGAAGACTCGATGTTATACTCGAGGAAGAATATTAGATGATTATAATGTTCGGTTATATTGTCAAAGATTGAGTTCGTTTCGTGGGAATCACACGCTTCGAAACTTCTTTCACTCTTCATCTATGAAGACGAGGCAGAATCTACTTTCACCGATTTTTCAAGAATCGATTAAACCGGTACATCTCGTGTATCCATAATCACGAGAAACTTTCGTGGATGCGACTCGCGATTATAGGCATTGGAGAAGTCAATCTATGGAGTCATTGAACCGTGTGTACAGTGGGGGATGGTGGGTTTCCCTAGGGAAATCGAGGGTTGGGGAGTTGAAAATAGTATTTTAGTTGATTTTAGTTAGTGAATAGTTGAGTTTGGAAGTGTTCCAAGTTTCAGACCTGGAAATTTACGAATTTGGAGAGTTTAGAATTGAGGGATTTGAAATTTGGGATTTGGATATTTAGGGAAGATGGGAATTTGAGGATTCTGAAATTTGAGAAATTTTGGGATATTGAAAATTTGAGAAATCTTGGGATATTGGGAGTTTAGAAATTTAGGAAATTTGAGAAGTTTGTGAATTTGTAAAGTCGAATATCTTAGTCTTGAAACTTTATAAATCTGCAAACTAAACTCTCAAAGAACTACAAATTTATAACCCAATTAAATTCAACAGAAATTTCGCTACTAAATAATTGATATTGTTTCATATCCGAACAATCATGAGATTCCACATTAATTTTAATCTCGCTTAAAATGTAATTAATATAATTAATGTTTCATTAATTTGAAAGCAATGGCACTTATAAACTTGATAATAATATTTATGAATTTGATAAATATAAATTTCTCACGCGTGTACACATGTTCGCTACCGTTGAAACACAGTGTACCACATTTCTAACACTTTTCGACATTACCATGTAAATTTCGAGATAAATTCCGATGGTATCACTGTATCCATCGGAAAAAGGTGACCGACTGCTCTCCTCGTAACATCTGTTACCTGTTCTCGGCTAAAGTGGAACAACCTTTACATGGCCTTGATCCAGTAACCTGCCGGAACCAGGAAAAGTAAATAGATTCTCCTTAATTGCCGTGGAATGGCAACTTCCCTCTCGCGTGATAGCAGTGAAAGATTTATTAACGATATAAACACGATCGTTGTTCGACTGTACTATTTCATTCCATAAAATTGCAACGATCGTTGCACTATCTTTATCGTGATCGTCTGCCGGTTATCGATCACCTATTCTTTCCGAGTTCTGAAAGCTGCTGGGAAACTGATTTTGATATGCGCCTTATCGCTGGCACGATTTCTGCGAAATTGCTGTATAACGCAATTACTGCATTAGTCATTTCATCAGTTATCTCATTAACATTGCACGATCACTTTTTTCTAAACGATCGTGTGAGAATGATCCGTCGATCGTAAAGGATAGATACTTCAACGACGAAAGAATTGGTAAATTTTGAAAACGATCAAAGGAATTTTAGATTTTTTATTTTCTTGTGTTATTGATTACAGGGAGGTTGAAATTTAAAGAAAAAGTATCAAAATTATTAGTAAAAGATATCAAATTATTAGTAGAATAATGATATATCGTTGTTGACAGCATTTGTGATATACAATTGTCATTCATTCTCCCTTTATTCCATAATACGTTTCTTTCCGAATTTTGTAAATATTTTTACTTTTTATCTTTTTCTCAAACAGTATTCTCAAATAGTATTATCACATGATACATGTATAATCGTATGCAGTATTACCATGCACGTATCTAAAGAATATGTGTGTATTTCCATGCACATATCTAAAGAATATGTGTATGAAGCGCGTTGTATCATGAATGCGTTGTATACTCATCCGACGTATTTTGTACACGTGGTATCTCCAATGCGTTATACTGGAGATACGCTGTAATTTGATCGCGTGTTATTTGATACGCGTTGTAACTCGATCTTATATCCAATATGCGCTGTAACTCGATCGCGTTGCATTTCATTCGCGCTGTAATTCGATCGCGTTGCATTTCATTCGCGCTGTAATTCGATCGCGTGGTATTCGGGACGCGTTGCATTTCGTTCGCGTCAAATTTCTAACGCGTTATATCTCCATGGTATTGTGTTTGGTACGCGTTGTATTTGGTACGTGTAGTATTCGGTACGCGTAGTATTCGGTACGTGTAGTATTTGATATGTGTAGTATTTGATATGTGTAGCATTCGGTGCGTGTAGTATTCGGTGCGTGTAGTATTCGGTACGCGTTGTATTCGGTACGTGTAGTATTTGATATGTGTAGCATTCGGTGCGTGTAGCATTCGGTGCGTGTAGTATTCGGTGCGTGTAGTATTCGGTACGCGTTGTATTCGGTACGTGTAGTATTTGATACGTGTAGTATTTGATATGTGTAGCATTCGGTGCGTGTAGTATTCGGCGCGTGTAGTATTCGGTACGTGTTGTTGCATTTCATTCGCGCTGTAATTCGATCGCGTTGCATTTCATTCGCGCTGTAATTCGATCGCGTTGCATTTCATTCGCGCTGTAATTCGATCGCGTTGCATTTCATTCGCGCTGTAATTCGATCGCGTTGCATTTCATTCGCGCTGTAATTCGATCGCGTGGTATTCGGGACGCGTTGCATTTCGTTCGCGTCAAATTTCTAACGCGTTATATCTCCATGGTATTGTGTTTGGTACGCGTTGTATTTGGTACGTGTAGTATTCGGTACGCGTTGTATTCAGTACGTGTAGTATTCGGTACATGTAGTATTTGATATGTGTAGTATTTGGCACGCGTAGTATTCGGTACGCGTTGTATTCGGTACGTGTAGTATTCGGTACGCGTTGTATCTTAACCATATTGTATTTCCATCGCGTTGTATCTAGATCATGTTACTTCTCTATATCGTGTTATATATTAGATCGTGTTACTTCAGACGCCGTTGTCGCATTATGCTTAGTACACACATCTCATTCGTGTTATCTCCCATTTACGTTGTACCTCAATCACATCTTGACCACATAATATTTCGATCACGTTACATCTCAAAAGCGTTACACCCTGAACCACATCTCAACTGCATTTCATTCCCTTTGTATTTTCAACGTATTCACACAGGTTATGTCAGCATACATCATAAACTAATATACTATTGCCATATTACCATACATCTCTGTTCGCGGCAATAAATCTAAAGTTTACTGTAGCATAAAAATGTACAACGTGCAGCAGAATGTTGCACACACCCATCGGTGCATTTATCAAAAGCATTTATCACCGAAGGATTAAAATGATATATTAAAAGACCAAATAGCAATAAGCCTGAAATATTGCACGATTTATGTACGGTCTCTCTCTTTGTCGAACGTAACTGAAAGTTATAATTTTCTTTGAAATTTCACTGCAGATTTTAACCGATATACCAACACAAAGTCGACGGTTAGGATTTATAATTTACCGCAAAACATTTATCTTCTTAGTTCGATAAGCTCGGTGAAAGTCCACCTTGGTGATAATCTAGTCCCCAGCAGAATTTCATTCGGTGACAATGCGGTAAGAAATAGTAACATGAAAATATTGCGGAGAATCGCTGACAAATGAATACGTTCTACAAAAGTTCTTTATCTTCGTACTCTTTCATTCATGAAAGGTGTATTAACACTTCAACTGTAGTTAGTCAACCGGATCCTCCTTTTCAAGGTTTGCGAACCATTGTGTGCCTCGTGTATGGGAAACTTTTGTCTTCGAAAATTATCTGTAAACAGATTTTATCGGCATTTTGAAAATTGAGATGAGTCATTACATTGTACGTTATTAATATATTATTCAAATTTTATGTACACATTTTGTGTGTGAAATATTTGAGGTATCGTTTCTTATTTTATTCAAATATATTATGCATGCAAATCTTATCTAGATGAAAGTGTTGTCTAGATGAAGTCATT